CCTCGATTTACAATTAATATAATTTTTGACTTGAAAAGTGCATCCGTTATTATCTTCAAACTGGCTGGTTTTCACAACAAATTTACATAAAATACATTTTTTAGCACCACATGGCTCACATAAATTTCCTTTTTTAAAAAATAAATTGTTGTGTTTTTTATACACTAAAATGTCTTTCAAATTTTTGTCTCTTTTATAGGCAACGATTGTGGTCTTTTTGAACGCTAGTTTTAGGCGATCGGAATTTTCAAGAATTTTTTGTCTTTTCTTCAAAATGTTGTGAATATTCGGTAATCCTTTTGAATGGGTCAACACAAGGGGAACACGGTCACATCGCGTTTTATTTTTTTCTATAATTTAGAAGATCCGAGCGATTGAGGTTGTCGACTTTCGTAAGTTGTTTTCCTACTTTGTTGCTAGAATATCCTCGTTTTTGCAAGTTCTTTTTTACTTTATCACGTTGGCTTCGATAGTTTTCCTCTGTGGAGCAAATACGACGTGCTCTTAAACCAAGACCGTACGGAATTGAACTTTTTGTCGATTCGGGATGGCTGGAGGTTTTGTTAAGGTACATATCTTTGTCAGTTGGTTTGCTGTAAAGATCTGTTGTGAGAAATCCTTCATCCAGAGAAATAGAAACATCAAGGAAGTCTGTTTTTGTTTTTGAAAAACGCAGCTCAAGTTGAATGATGGGGTGAATATTATTCGCAGTCAGATGTTTGTGGTGCAATTTTATTGCATGACGTTGCCTTTCAATTTCTATGTTCATTGTGACGTCATAATACTGTTGAGTTGCTATGCATTTAAGGTAGATCGCGGGTTTGCTGACGTCACAATAGGTTTTGACGTAAAAAGATTACCGCGTTCAGATTAGCGAGCAAAATATCTTCAGCAGTACTGTATGCAGTAAAAAGTAAAATATATATAAAAGGTTGTTTTGTGTTTTTAAATATATTTTAATGTAATTGAAAATAATTGATGTTCTGATCAAGGTGGTCTTTAACACTATAAGCAGTTTTTAACGCTGATATCTGTTGTGTGTACGTACCTTTCTAAAATACTATTGTCTAATTTTATATACAATACAAAAACAGATCCACGGTCGGTGTGTCTGGTGCCTGCCCTGCATTTAAATTTTTTGCTCACTTTAATGAATTTTGTTTTGCTTGTTTAATTTAGTCCACATAGTACACACTAATCTTCTTCATTTTTATTTGTTTAACAATCATCTATAACTCCATTTTTTCGCGATGATGTACGCTTAGATTAGTAATATTTTTATGGGCAAAAATATTGCCTGAGTCAAGTAAGGTATAAGATTTTTAAAACGAGAAAGAAATGGACAGTATATGGTAAGTTTATATGATTATCATTTGTATGAGTTTCTCTCAATGATGATTTTTTTTTCTTTTGGGGTGTTGGGGGGGGGGGTTAAATTAGATCACTATCAACAGGAGAGACGTTCATGATTTAGGTAACATCACAAAATAAAATATCACCAACTAAACTAGAGGTACTGTGAGCAATGAGCTCACTAAATGATACCCCCCGCCTCCCATATGAATTAAATGGCAGTGTCCATGTTTTGCTCTGGAAAATCCAAAATATATGTCAGATCAAAAAGTAAAATAGGAGGTGCACAATGGCAATATGTAATAAAGATTCTGTGAAAGTTTCATCAAATTTCATTCAGTGGTATGAGAGGAGTTGCGGATAAGAGATGGGTACCCCAAAGCGTAACAGACGGACGGACGGACAGACGTACAGACGGACGGAATTAACGATTACTATATACCCTCCCGCTTTTCAAGCGGGGGGTATAAATATGTATGCCCTATAAATTCAATTATGGGCACAGCTACTCGTATATATTTTCAGTTGGGGTATTATAAACAACCAAAAAGTCCTCGACAGGCATAAAAAAGGAGGGGGAGGTATCAGGCATTTTAATTGAGGGGACTCGAGCATGTGGTAGTAATTTTTTCTAAAGTATTAATACCTGTTTTCTATAGTATACTGTATGCTTTCTATAGTATTCTAAATATCGGAAAAGTAATGACAAGAAATTTCCTTTACGACATTTTGAAGGGAAATCGGAAGTCTTTTAATTCAGGGATAGACAAAAGTAATTCATTCTATGAAGTATAAATGTATACAACGTAGTTTATAAAGCTATTTTCATTCAACTGCAATATTTCCGATTTAAAATTGGGTCTATTTTATTAACAGATAAAAATTTATGACAAATATGTTTGAAAATGTTCTCAAATCCGGTAAGATGTTTCTTCTTTCTTACGTCCATGTACACTTGTTATAATTTTCTTTCTGCACCCTAGCCTTACTTTTATTACGGTTAACTATGACTATGATTATATCGGGAAATTGAATTCACGGATTGCTTGTTTTATTTTGAGTGAATTGTTGATTAATTGAATTTTTTTTCGAGTCATGCAGGCATACGAAAATAATGACGTCGCACCAACGTAATATAACGTCGTGATGAAAATATAACACTTCTGATGACAAATTCTAAAACTTTAAAGTTTTTTTGCAAGAAATTGAGCGAGAACACATACTAATTTTTTTCAATAAATCGATTCTAAATTTACTTCACATTTATTGTATCGAGTAATATAAAATTCGTCTGCTTCGTTTTAATTTTATGATTACGGTTTTGAAATGCGTATACCGACAGAAAAGGGACATTTTACTATATATTTCATTGAAAAAGCGTCATCTGTCTTCATCAACATTAGCGCATTTGAATTATGATTACAATCTAACCACGCAGACGAATCTCAAAAAAAATTCAGAAAGAAAAATTTCAAACGAGAGGAGTAAGCTGACAAATTTTTAGCCTATGTTTTCAGGCAGACAGTAAACCCGCGATCTACCTTAAATAAACACGACTGAAGAAGGCCGGTAACACGGTTGAAATATTTTGAAAAGTGTTTTAAAGCTTTTTATTGTATTGACAAAAAGAGAGTTTGGATATATATATATATATATATATATTAAGCACAGATTACAACAACTCTTAAATTAATATAACTGGCCTAAGTGAAGAAATATTAATATAGAAAGCACAGAGAAATTCACTTTTACAAGGATACTCACTTCCGGCCCAAGGCCGGGGTTGAACTCTCGACCTACGGAATCTGCCTCCTATCAGTACAGGAACAGCGCGTTAGACCGCTCGGCTATCTAGGCAAGTTAAAAAACTTGCTTTCGATGCCGATGGAATTCTCACAACGCTGCCCTACACTACACGGTCATTGAGAATGGAAGTGAGATACAGTTATTTGGACATTAGTTTTTAGAGGATCGTTACCAATACATTTTGTGATGAAATTAATCGTATTTATAAAGCACATATTACAACAACTCTTAAACTAATATAACTGCCCTAAGTGAAGAAATATTAATATCATATGTCCAAATAACTGTATCTCTAATATATGAGAACAGAACATTTATCAATCCAAAGACATTGCGGGTATGTTAAGGAAGCATTAAGGAAGTCATTTCACGGGAAATTTAGATTTTTTAAAGAAAATTAAGATTGATAAATTACCAAAACACCTGATAAACATAAACTGTTATAAACTATTGCAAACAGATAAGAGTTTTTAACGCAAAGACGTGCACCGCCGCCACGGCATCACGTGACTTCTTTTCATAGCGAAATTTTCCTTAAGAAAAAGGTAACAGAACAACAATATCCGGGGGTTTTATACTTTCTTTGAGTAAATAATATAGTTGAAAAACATATATTTTGCCTAAAAAGTTAGAATCCCACTGTCCTTTCAGTAAAATAATTATTCCTTACATTCGCACGAAAAATTACCCTATGTTTTGAATTTTATACATATGATTTTTCGTAAAATCATGCTTAACTCAGGATTCAAGCAGCACGTCCCAAGTTTGTCAGAAAGCAAACTTTCCTTCTGTACAAATCTTAGGTTTTGAAATATCCAGCTTATTGTTGTATACACAATGTGTTTTTCTCTACACACGTTTGACCATCACTGCCGTTGCTATTATATCTCTCCTATATTGAATCGGTGGATACCATGGAAATAGCCATCTGTAGCGATATAATTCCGTTGAGGAAGGCTCTATGGCAGCTATTATACCATCAGCCCCCTTTATGTAAACATCCACAGTCTCCACTCGGAGCATTGTCACTAGTACAACACAGCGTAGTACTAAAGTACATCCCAGATAGGTCATATTTAGAATTCCCAGTATCTAACATCATGTCACTTATCAAATTAAGGAAACACTGGTTTTATTTATTAACAGTCTTTTTTACCTTTCAACTATATCATTTACTAAATGATTTACTATAGAAAAGGAGGACATACAACCGTCTGTTTTCAACATTTCGAAATCAGGTATTTCAAAGATATAAAGGAATTCCAATGGATACAAATTGCTCTCTGTTATCAGCATACCCATTTTGTTTTTATTTTTTTATAAAATGGAAGCTTAACAAAATCTTAAACATGTGAAGAAGATAGAAAATGCTTGCTTGTCGTCAACTAGATATCTATAATTTTTAGTGACGTATTATCATTTAAGGGACCACCCTCCATATATCTTTTCGATATATATTCAAGTGAATTTCAAATTAAAAATACACCACAGAGACTTACACATCTGTTAACCATTTAAAAAATCATGACATGTGATCTAGCAACAAAACCTAACAACACACTTGATTGATTTAACATTTATATTGCAAACTTCACTGATTTATAAAATATTTTGCGATAACCAACAGTACTCAAGGTCAAAAGTTCATTTAACCTTACTATTTTGAAGCAAAGCAAACATGAAACATCAGAGGTAAGATCCGACCAATTACACGCACCATGTGCTCCATGTATAAGGATCGGGAAGTAAGATACAAACCCGTTTTCAATTAAGTGTGTAAATAATTTTTTAACAATTAATTTGAAAAATTTAAGTCATAATTTGACTTAATGATAGATTGTATTTACTTACAAGGTCATTGTATCGACCATAAATTTTTCAAATTCAAAACTTTAAACACGACTGCTGATATTCTTGTTTTATCAACTTATTTGTCAATAGCATACCTCGTTTAAGAAATTGTTTTTAGCGTATCGAATCAGCTGAGAATTTTAAACCCCATACCAAGGTGAAATGCCCTTAAGGAAATGTCATTCTTGAATGCAGGTTTTCAAAGTTGAGATTATTCTTGTCCTCTGGTTTTATATTCAATGTTTGCCAAGGGAGTTTCAGTAGCGGCGGATGCAGGAATTTCGTAACAAGGGGGGGGGGGGGGCAGTAGACGGCAGAGGACCAGGAGGTTGTACTGAAAACCTAAGTAGGCCTAAGGCAAGGTCCTTTGGTCTTTTTGGTCCTTTTTTCGGAATCTGAACAGTTCTTACAAATAAGAGATGTTGGACACATAAATTTTACATACAAAAATTTCAAACTGGGGGGGGGGGGGGGCCCCTGGACACATTTACAACAGATATAGTAATAATCAGTAACAGTAATAATCACAATAATGAAAGAGAAATCATGTTAGTCAATAATTATTTTCAAATAATTACATTCCCACTTTTTTCTCTACTGTCAGTGTTTATAGTTCTGCAACACAAAAAGGCTAAGGTACTGATAAAACACTTATTTATAAAATAATAATTACAATAATCAAAGAGAAATCATGTTAGTCAATAATTATTTTAAAACAATAAATTCCCACTTTTTTTCTCTACTGTCAGTGTTTATGGTTCTGCAACACAAAAAGGCTAAGGAACTGATTATCATCAAGAAGGAGTTTAATATATCCTTGTTTGTATTGTCACATGTAAATACTAACAAAGTTTATAGAAATTACTTTCAAGTCTACAGTACCTGGAACACCTTTCATGTAATTTTCAAAAACTTTCGATATACATTAATTTCAACATGATGAATTTTTCTTTTATCGATTTCTTATACATACATGTTAGTTCAACTCCAAATTAATTTGATTTTGAAATGTTCCACTCCAAGAATATTCACACTCCAAGAGATCTTATATCTTTCAAATTGTTCATCTCCAAGAAAATTCAATCTCCCGTTGTAATTTTGTTGTGTTCTTATTGTATAAATTTCTTCAACTCCAAGTAAAATTAATTGTATTGGTCAGTTTTGAAATGTTCAATTCCAAGACAATCCATAAACCAACATAAACATATACTCAGAATGTTTGCCATTTTGTAATTTATATGGTGTTCGAAATGTTGCACAATAATATATAATCAATGCTACTATTCTTGTCACTCTTAATGTTTGTTCAAATACAAAATAAATAAAGATATTTTGCTTCGATCATTGCCAAAACGCATGCTTACTAACAATTTACTCTATGAGTATACCCACTTCTAGCATCAATTATGAAATGACATGGATCTAGATCTACGATATAACTAATTTTGTTCAGAGAAAAAAATGAAGGAAAGTGTAACTGGTATTAATTCATTTAATGAAATTGATAATAGTAAAAATATGATTAATATCGCAAATCACGACTAAAGGATATCAGTGGGATCAAGGCCTTTTGTCAGAACATATATTTGCAAACAATTCATGATTGCGGCACACGCGCCCGATCGGAATTTATTATTATGGAATCAACATTTAAAATCGTACATGAATCTACGCTGTATTTGATGATATTCTTTCAGTCCTAGAGAAATAGTATGTCAAAAATAAATAAAATATGTTTATTACAGAATACTAGCAAACCCATTTTCTTCTATTGCAGTCAACAGATGACGGCTATCAAAAGTAGTTCGAATATGAATATTTTCATGCGCATCAATCGGATCACGCTCACGATTATTTGTGGTTAAAAACGATAATGGCCTAGAAGTTACAAAAAGTGTACGATTTGGCGTTATACGTAAAAATGTTTAATTTCGCGATTTTAACGTGGACAATGAATTTAAAACGAGAAGTTGTTAATGCTAGTTTTCTCACAATTAAAAAAACTACTTTGTATATAGGAAGTTTTTTTCTTGAACGCTGTTTGACTCTTTGTTTACATTTTCTATTTATAGTAACTAAGTCGATCATAAAGCCTAAAACCAGGGCTTTGCTTTCAGCAAGCCAGGCGAAAAATAAAGAGGAGGGTAGCATACCCCTAGTGTCCTTGTTTAGAATCAGGCAACATGTATATTACTTTCATTAAACATATAATTTGACTTTATGAATGAAGGATATGGAAATAACGAACAGTATTCAATCTCAACGTCCATTAAACAAATATACAAAATAAGAGCAGAGCAAACACGGACCTCCGAAACATCAGAGGTGGGATCAGGTGCCATGGAGGAGTGAGCATCCCCTGCCGACCGGTCACACCCGCCGTGTGCTCGTTGTCATAATCAGGAAATAACGGAAAAAATCCGTGGTCAATTCAGTGTATAAATAATGGACTAACAATTGGTATGAAAAAGTCAGTCAGCATTTCATTCA